AAGTTTCACAAAGGGGTCACAATCTGCCCGAAACAGGAAAGGAGACTTTGCTTCCAATAGGCATGGATCCAGACTGAGAACCTGGAGCAAGGGGTCATGCCTGTGGGTGTAAGGAGATGGGCAGGAGTTACAGAAAGATACTCTATGTTTTAAATCCCACCAAATCTGTACTGGACTATGGACTGTGGAAGAGATGCATGGTCAGGGATGTGGGAATGAGTTTGGCTGGGGGGGGGTTCCACAGGGGCCAAAATGAAGCACAAACAGATAATTGTCCCTTAGACACAGTAGGCTGGAAAAATGAGGAGTTACCTCTACTCCGGGCTGGAGCTCCAAAGAGCTAATGAGGTAGAGGGAGGAAACTTAAAAGATGTCCAGAAAGAGCCACTAGCAGAAACCCTCGGGCAGAGAGGGCATTATAAGCCAGGACACAAGGCAGAAAGGACAGGCATCTGGGTGAGGATGACAAGCAGCACAGCTGTGGCACACTGTGCAAAGGGGGAAGGAATGGCTCAAAAGATGCCAGAACCAGACCCCCATAGTAAGTTAGGGGTTTCTGACCATTTAGATCCTTGACTATGGTAGTAGGGATGTGTTAAAGGGTTTAAAGAGAGGGAATGGGGGCTGGAGAGATGGCTCAGTGGTTAAGAACACTGGTTGTTCTTGCAGAAGACCTGGGTTCGAGTCCCAGCACCCGGGACAGCTAACGACTGTCCGTAACGCCAGTCCCAGGGGATCTGACAGCCTCTTCTGACTTCCGCAGCATTGCACAACATGGATACACTGACCTACATGCAGGCAATACACGCATACACATAAAATAAAAAATAATAAATAAATAAAATTGTTAAAGAGAGGGAATGACAGAAAGATCTTGAACAGCTGGAGTGAGGAAACCAAAAGTGTCAGACGCTATACAAATCAAACTGGAGAAACCACTCCTGGTTGCTGACTCTGAGGCAAAGGACTGCCTTGTTTATGACAAGTGATGGACAGCTGAGCCTGCATTCCTCACCCATTCTGTAATTTTTATAATGGATATTCCCAAATGCATCTTGCATTTTTTTTTCCCATTTAAAGCTGGTGTTAACAGGTGGCAGTGCCTTCTTGTCTCCTGGCTTTATGGTTTTCTTTTGTAACTAAAGTTTGAGGAATAGTGTGCATTTGCTGCTTGCTATATGACACCTTGACATATGCACACCAAGGTCCTAGTGCTGGACTTACAGGGAAATATATTTCTCAGGGAAAGACCCATGGCCTCAAGTAGGATGTGCTGGGACTCTGGTAGGCAGAGAGACAGAGACCCCATGGTCAAAAACCACATTTGTTCTCCACAACTGGGATGCTCTCCCACCTATCTCTCTAAAACACTTACTTATTTTGAGATTTAAATTGTTACAGTGGCTACACTAAGCAAGGTTAACAACTTCTTACAGACAGCAGTATGAACCATATAGACTCATGAACGTTCACTTCTGTGGTGGGGTCCTAAGACATAGCCCTCCTCTGAAGAAGCTTATAAGGCATGACATAGTCCCCAGAGTCCTTGGAGAGCCTGTCACCCGACTCATACCATTACTGATTATTTTCTGATACCATTTCTCCAACAAATGGGAAGAAAGATCCTGATACCAGTTACTAAGTTGGAGTGAAGCAAGAGATAGGGAGAGCAATAAAGAATGTATCGCTAAAGTAGCAGGCAGAGACAACGGGCAGGAGGAATGGAGGAAAGATGTAAATCATGGCAATAACAGTTAATATTTACTAAGGGTTTATCACACGCCAGGTGCTTCACAGCCCAGTGAGGTAGACACTAACTTTCTCTCCTTTCTTGGAGGAAACTCAGTTGTCAAGAACTTATGTGGCCTGCCCATGGTCACTGACTGGGAAATGACAGAGCTAGAACTAACCAGGTAGTTTGAACATGAGTTTCAGGCTCAGGCTTTGAGAAATACCTCAGGGAGAGGCTAAAAGGCCTCAAGCAGAGCCACTCTGACACAGTAGGAGGTCAGTAAACTTGGAGTCCGGGTTAGAGTTTAGTTGCAGCCCACTGTTAGGTGCGTGAACAGTGTTTATTTCTACTGGAATGCCTCGCTCTGAGCCTTGGTTTCCCTACCTGTGACACGGAACAACAATTTTCACCCTCTGGCCTCTAGGGTCTGGGCAAGTCCTAGGAGACACAGGGGGAGCTAAGGAGGTAAAGATGGGGACATGGCTGTCCATGGGGCCATTGTGCAGCACTTCTATAAGGCAGACAGAAGTTCCATACTAAAAAACCTGTCTGGGGACCTCTCTCCACATCTCAAAGGTCACTCTAATGTCAAGCATTTTTTTTCTCTCTAATCTCAAATTGGGGGAAGGAGGCAATGAAGAATCAAAGTGACACATGATATCTGGCTCCGAGAAGTTAAGGCTCAAGGGAGGCTATATGCTATATGGATTATTTGCTCAACAAAAAATGAATCAAAATGCTACAAAAATGTCTTTTTTCCTCTCTTAGACTATGACAAGCCGGGCGTGGTGGTGCACGCCCTTAATCCTAGCACTTGGGAGGCAGAGGCAGGTGGATCTGAGTTCAAAGCCAGCCTGGTCTACATAGTGAGTTCCAGGACAGCTGGGGCTACAGAGAGACCCTGTCTCAAAAAGACAAAAAAAAAAAAAAAAAAAACTCTTGAGACTATGACCACCAAACAGGGAACACAGGAAGCTCCTATTTGGTAGACGGTACACTCTACAAGGGTGACTCTCTTCAAGGTGCAGGTTCTGGTTACCACTTTATTGTGTAAATTAGACCATATAGTTTACTACAAAGGTAGGGCAGACTTCAAGTTGCTTCTTGACTTATCTAGATTCTAATTGTATTTTCCTTAAAGGGTAATAGGGTAGTCATGGAAAGATCAAGTGGGGAAGGGGGATGGGAGGGGTAGGAAGAACAAGATTCTGCTAAAGTAGAAATATAACCCTTGAAAGGGAAGACAAAGATGAAGAAAAAAAAAAAACCCTCAAAAAACAACATGAATGTGGGCATGATACATGATTACTGACAAGACTAAAAAAAGAATGTGTTTATGTTTGAAGAACTTAAAAATAATTTTAGGTTTTTTGTTTGTTTTTGAGACAAGGTCTTACCATGCATGTAGTTCAGAATGGCCTCAAACTGCCTCCATCCTCCTGCCTCAAGTGGCTGTGATTTTATATATATAGGTGTGTACCACCACACCTGGCAAAAAAAATATTTTGTGCTTTTCTTCAATGCTGGGGATCAAACTCAGGGCCCCATACATTCTTAGTAAGCACTCTACCACTGAGCTACATGCCCAACTTCTAAAAAAAATTCATTTTCTGATGATAAGTTGCAAATGGGAGAAAAGAGAAGAGGGAGAGAATGGGGAGTTCCTAGAATCCTAGGGAAAGTAAGGAGGAAGCAGAGGGAGGTGTTCATTTAGGCTTTCCTCAAAATATGATTCACACAACATCACTGAACATGATTCTTGGAAAATAGTTCTCTGTCTAGACAAGTTCAGAAAGAACTTCCGGAGGTCATATTGTGCCAATGCACTGAAAGTTCTTCCTTCATTGTACCTGGAAGCCCTGGACTGGATGTCTCAGGTCTCTGCTCTCTCTCCTCTAAGCTTTTAAAGCACTGCACAGCCACCATCCAGTCACATGCTGTGCCGATTTTAATTGTTAACGAACTGTATAAGAAAGACCTACCTACCAGAAGTGGGTTAAACACTTCTTTAGGGCATCCCTGCAGTAACTGAGGCAGCACTGTGCCGCAGCAGCCCACAGCTAGATGGGCAAACTGCTGTCCCCTGCTTCCCTTGTGACCAAGGAAAGCCACACAAAACCCCTCAACTTGGATGGAAGCAAAAAACTGTCAACAATCTCATTACTCAGAGTTTATCTTGGAATGAAATGGGTAGGCTATCTCTTCAAACAAATTTCAGTGAAATGTGGTATACAGGTAAGGCAGACTTATCACTGTACCTAGGAGATTCTGTAGAATGACATGCGTTTAAATATTTGGGATAAATTAGAAATATCAAAGTTATATTCTTGGAAAGGAAATGATGCTCGTTAAGCATACTAGAATGAACATAGTTATTTTGCTTAAAAACAAGGGCTTTTAGATCAATCTGATTCTCCAGGTTGTAGTGAAGGCTGGTAAATCTTCAGCATTAGTTTCCTAAGCAGGACAAAAGCCTGGCATACACAGATCTGATGTGCAGTGGGAAACAGCCTAGTCCATGGGACTCTAAATGGCTCCTGAATAGAACTTTCCCAGACATTTTACCCAGGGCTGGCTACATATGTGTAAGGCCTCAACTTGGTATATGGTCAACTGCAAATGTCCCAGAAGAAAGACACTGTCCGGCTGGATCAAATTTGAAGTTGCTGGGGCTGGAGAGATTACTCAGTGGTTAAGTGCACACATTGCTCTTAACAGAGGACCTAAGTTCAGTTCCCACTACCCAAAGTCAGGTACTGTAAGCCTTATTAACTCCAGCTCCTAGGACATCCAACACCCTCCATGGGCACAGCACACATAATTTTAAATAATAAAAATAAATATTTTAAAAAATTGAAGTTGCCCAAACATTTGACACAAAATGGTTGTTTCTTGGGGATTTTTGGTCTTTTTTTTTTTTGAGTACTAAGAAAAATATACAGCTATGCAAAGACAGTAAATAATCAGCACTTTATTTTGGGATAATTGGGCTTGTCTTCTTTTCTTTCATTTTTGCTGGAAGTCTACTTTCCAAAGCCAAAAACATACTCCTGAAACTGCCCTTGGCTAACAGAGCTACTATCAACAAGCAAGCATACCATTTAGCACTTATCTCATCTACGCTATTTAAATAAGAACGGCAGCAATGGCAGTGTTGGCACCTCACTGCACAATGCCAGGTGTCTATGACATCACTCCCCCACATTCACTGAGCATGCATCTGTGTACATACACTCTCACTTTCTCACCCTGTCTTCCCAAAGCGCACCTGGTTGATAACATAGATGCCATAGTCCAACTGCTGGCGCTGCAGGACTGGATGCAAGTAATACAGCCAATACTTGAGGTGCTCCTGCCGGTTTCGGAACGGGATAATGATGGCCACCTTGTGAGGGGAGATGCAGTCCTTGGGGATGTAACGGCCGCCCATCTTTATCTCTGGGTTCCGCTTTGCCAAAAGTTCCAGATCCACAGGAATACTAAAATCAATCATCATGGGGCCAACTGGAGAAGTAGAAGGAAAAAGAAGTTAGCTAGCCACAGGGTACACCACTCCACGGACTGCATCAGATGATCAGGCCACAGCTACAGAGGAGATATCTCCTCCCGGGGAGGAGGGAGATAGGTGGCTTCAGAAAGGATATTCGTGCTCAGCACTAGGTACTATGTATAGCACTAAGGTGACCGACCAATCACCTCCAGAAACCCCTTGTCTTGGGAATCCTCCAGTGCTGGGCAAACCCGGATGGTTGGTTATCTAGAATACTCTGCCCAAGACCTGCTCCTTCAGACTGTACTGTAAAAATGGAACGAATTCCTGTTCAGACCATTTGATCGCTGCAGTAAAGATCAGTGAGCATGGATAAGACACGTTTTCAGAAATCCTGAGCTTAAGATCTACCTGACACCTGCCAGCTATATGCTTTTGGATAAAGGATTGACATGGCTCTCTCTAAACCTATCTTAACAAGAGAAAGGGATATGGGGTAGGGGATCATTATGGGGGAAGCCACTTCAAAACTGAAAGCAGTAGGGAGTGGAAGGGACTCAATGGAGAAGGGTGGAAGTAACCTGAGAACCCAGAAGAAAATGGGGGGGGGGGTTGGAAAGATCATCAAAAAAAAGTTATAGTAACAGTAGGTGGTAAACACTTGGATGAAGAAGGAAGAATCAGAGAGCTGGGTGTGGTGGCACACACCTTTAATCCCAGCACTTGGGAGGCAGAGGCAGGTAGATCTCTGTGAGATCAATGCCAGCCTGGTCTACACACAGTGAGTTCCAGACCAGGTCAGCTGGGGCTACAGGGAGACCCTGTCTCAAAAAAAAAGAGTCAGGATGGCTCCACAGTTTCTATACTGGAAGAACAGGGATCCAGGTCAGAGAAATGAGTCCATAAGAGAAAATGGTCCAGGCACACACAGGGAATCAGGTAGAGAGCCAAGGCATAGGCCCAAGCTTGCAGTACTTGCTGTACTTGAGACTTCCTCAAAACGGGTTCCAGAAGCATGAAATCTGGCAAGATGCTCAGTGGAAAAACTGTCCTGGTCAAGTCAGGATGGGAGCCATGTACCCAAGGGCTCTAAGAAACTCTGAAACACCATTTCCCAAACTTGCTTCATCACTAAACTAATTTTGTCATTTGGGGAACTGTTACTATACTGTAACCAGCTTCACCTGTGAAGCAAACTAGCCACTAGAAGAAAGGAAGGAACCCACAGACCAGGTGGGAATGCAAACCACAAGCTCAGATCAAAGTCACCTGAAATATACCAGTGAGACCCACCCACTCCTGCCCTGGCTGTGCAGGCCCCAATCTACCCGCCCTGTTTATGAAAATGTAGCTCGAATGCCCAGGGAGCACTTGCCTCACTGAAATCTCCCTCTGAGCAAAGGAGGCCATGAATCTGCTCTTCCTGCCTGCCAGCAGGTATGCAACAACAGCCACTACCTCCTCTCCCTTTCCCAGGATCCTTCTCAACCTTCCTTCCCATCACAGGACCTGTTCCCATTAATTCATTTTCTTTTAAGACATCTTCCTGCTAAAAGCCTCTGGATGGCTCCCTGGCTGTATGGCCTGGTACAAGGAAAGACCAAACCCCTTAGCTAGGCAACAAGGCCTTCCAGGCAGTTGTCTTCTCCCTCTCTGTGCCTGTTTCCTTAGCCAGAAATGACTTTCCTCATTTTGAACCAGCTAACTTTTGCAATGACTGGCCTCAACAGAGCTTCATCCTTTGACACTCTTGAGACCACAGAGCTCAGGCAGCAGACTCATTGAGGCAAGGAAAGGAATTCTCAAAACTCAAAACAGCTGTGCCTCCTTCTAGTTCATGCTCTCCCTTCTGGAGGCCAGGGGTCTTACAGAAGACTGCTGCTGACCTAGCTCCAACTTCCCAAGATGCCTTCAGGTGAGTTGGCACTATGCTCTGGAACTAAGTTGGTAGCCATAAAAATCTATTGAGGAGGCTGGAGAGGTGGCTTAGTGGTTAAGAGCACTGACTGTTCTTACAGAGGACCTAGGTTTAATTCCCAGCACCCACATGATAGCTAACAACTATCTGCAACTCCAGTTCCAGGGGATCCAATGCCCTCTTCTGACCTCCACAGGCATTGCAAGTCACAGGTGCACTTATATACATGTAGGCAATACAGTCATACACATAAAATAACATTTTTTTTTAAAAAAAAGAATCTACTGAGGTTACTGACACAAATACATAATCTAAGGCTCCTGCCCACAAAGTCTCCAACTTGGCAGACCTTGGAAGGGACCTAAGTGGATAATTAACAAGGAGCTCAGGTAACTGATTTTCTGAATATGCCTGTGTGTGTTGTATGTACATTTTTCAATGGGTGTGTGTACATGTGGATGCCAGAGGTCAATGTTGGGTATCTTCCTTGATTGTTCCCCACCTTGTGTTTTGAGACAGGGTCTCTCAAGGAACCAGGAGCTCATACCTCCAGGGACTGCCTATCTCCTTCCCCACTCTCTACCCCCAGTGCTGAGTTACAGATGTTACAGAGTTACAACTGCCATGCCTGGGTGCTGGGGACCCAAACTTATATATTCATGCTTATACGATGGGCACTTTACTGACTGAGCCAACTCCACAGTCCCCAGGTGATTCTTACTGGACAAGCTGGGCAACAGAGAGATGGATGGCTCATCTTCACAGCCTTGAAGCTTTTGAGTAATGAAGGTCCTTAGGGATTCCCATTCTCCCCCACAAGGTCCACCAAACCTAGAGGCTCAACTGCCCAACCCTAGGCAAAGACATCTGGAAGATCTCAAGGTACAGTGATCTGGAAGATCTCAAAGTACAGTGAACTCATGACACAGGAGCATTTACATACATGTAAGCAAAACACTCATAAGCATAAAATAAACCAAAAAAAATTTTAGAAAGATCTGACAGGCCCAGAGTACTCGTTAAACTAGGAAGGAGAACAGGACCCAAACTAAAGTCTTCTAAAGACCCTTGCCTTCACCTTCTCTGTCTCCAAGAGGCACAAAGGACCATGCAGACAGGAAGACATGAATGCCATGGATGAAGTAGAGAGAAGCTCTGATTACCAAACACCACATCCACTCATGTCCCCTCCTACCCAATCATCCGTGCTTTCCCAGCCTCTTTCCTTGATGACAGTCTGCTTCCAACTTTTCTCACTCCTCTGGGCATTCTCCCTTTCTTGCTTTCACTCTGGTCTCTGGTTTAAGTAATGATCAGTCCCCAAACTGCCTCCATCCCTTGCCTTTCTCCTGGCCGAACAGCCAAGAGAATGTGGCTAGGCAGGTGCCATGGACACCTTAAACTCAACCTACCCCAAAAAACTCTTTCAAGCCACTCATTAGCACCTACAGCCCAACTTGCTAACTTGCTTCTCCTCCACGGTTCCCTCAGCAATGGACATTGCTGTCCACTCTGTGGAAACTGATACCTGGGTAGTCTAGCATCCTTCCATTCTCTTCTCCTATCCCAAGTTCAATACTCTCTGCCTCTCTCCTCTTTGTCTATCTCTCTCTCTCTCTCTCTCTCTCTCTCTCTCTCACACACACACACACACACACACACATACACACACACACACACGGTATCAAGAGCATGCTGACTGAGTCCATGGGAATTGACCAAGTAAGCAACCAAAGTCTTCATTCTGAAATGTTTATTCAATTCAAAACTCTCCCCGTGGCATGCCAAGACTACTTTCCATTTGTCAGTCACCCAAAGTACCAGTTTGTACACCAGTCCAAGAAGAGTAAGTTGAGGGAACTAGGGAGGGAGGCCAGATGGGAATGTTTCTGCCTTGGGGATGGAGAGATGGCTCAGTGAGTAAGAGCACTGGCTGTTCTTTCAGAGGAGTTGGGTTCAGTTCCTAGCACCTACATGGAGGCTAACAACAGACCACAGCTCCAGTTCCAGGGGATCTGATGCCCTCGTCTGACCTCTGTGGGCACTGCACATGGGTGCACTTACATACATGCAAACAATATACTCATACACATAAAAAAATTAAAAATAATAAACAAAATATTTTTTAAAAAAGAATGTTCCTACTACCCAGGAGCTCCCTACTGGGTTATAGCAAGATCTATATGGAAACTGCCCTGGTTCCCAGCTAGCTGAGGAACTTGCTCTTCTAAAGGCTCTGATTAGAACTTTATTGTTGACGGACCTCTTCTCACTCCCCTGCTCCCCTCTGTACCACTCTCACAACCCTCACCATGCCTTCAACATATTGAGAGTACCTCACCCCTAACTCATCCTCCTTACCCTACATGGCAATTCCTTCCCCACTCCCTCTGACACCTCCACAACTCTGGGACTCCTACAGCTCACACCTCTAAAAGGGAAGAGCACACTGCAGTATCAGATCCAGAGGTGAAAGTTTTCTTAGGTCCAGTGTCGCCCAGTTAGCTATATACCTTCTGCCACACTGTAGGGGCTAGCCTCCACTGCACACCTAGTTCCAGCTCACTGAGAAAATCCAGAGTTGAGACTCCAGGCCAATAAGAATGCACACCCTTCAGAGTCATGCACATACCCCCCAACCCCCGCAGGTCTCAGAGATACTGCCCGAGGCCACCAGAAGAGGAATAAGAGGAAGCAGGGGCTTGAGGGCTTCATGCTACTCCTCAGGCTGGGCCATTGCACCCTTGCTGTGTGGCGCATGGCTTGTGCTACCACAGGCCCTCAACCCTGCTGGGCAGGCTTGTGCTTTCTTGGCTCTAGAAGCTGGGAAGCAGGGTTACGTAAGCAGATAAGCACATGTGAGCTGTCCTCAGCTCCCCTGGCTCAAGCCCCAGCACGTGGGCCTCTCAGCTGGAAGTCTAGGTCATGGCCTTGTGTGTAAGTGTAAGTCACTCAAAAACTTCAATGTGTGAGCTCAACTCAGACAAATTCCACTATTCCCTTGCTGGGCATAGCAAACCCCAATACACACATGCCCCTGTATCAAAAACCGTGCTAATCTAAGCCAACCCTAGTGTCAGCTCAAGCCTTGTTTTC